AACCAAAAAAATACAGTTTAACTACACAATCTGTTTCACAGTTACACTTCACTTTTTTTTAATATAAATCAATTAATCATTCCAATGAATCATTGCGAGTTTAATATACATAAATATGCTCTTTTTAAGTAAGCTCTTTCTCTCTCTAAGTGACAGTTTTTCCCAACTAAAAGTTTTCGCAATGTTTTCAAAGAAATATTAAAGAAGCTATTTCAAGCACCTACAGGTTGATAACATTCCATTCCTCGAAAGATTTGGATATAACTTCTCAAAATATTCTTTACGATATGTCCGTAATAAACACAAAGGAGAACAATATGGCGACAATGACGTTTATAAGGACCCACTACTTTTAATAAAGTGGGACGACAATGGAATTAACGCAAGAACGTTTCTCAATCCTATTTTTTTCTGATTAGTAATCAGAATCCAACCAGGTTGTACCCAATTTCCTGAAGTTGGAATTCCATCAGACTGCGCTTTTGCGTTTGATACTCGTCAAAACTTGGCCAACGCAATTACGGTCTTTGGAAGGAACGCTTGGTCTAATCATGTAACGTGAACGGCGGATGTTGGCGGGCGTATTCAATTTTAATTCCCAGAAAAGGGCAGATAGATGTCGTTGAGGAATTTGGTGCTTTTAGTGTTTAAGTTAATAATTATTTTAAATTCATATTATTTTTTATCGTTTTTATCATGCTAAATAATTGCTAGAATAATAATAATCACAAATTAATTTTTTCTTCACTACCTATTGAATTTCTAATGTATTCTCACTCGTATAATTCTTTTTCTATTCTATTAAATTTTTCAAAACTATCTTTACCAAAGATTTTTGCAAATTTTTATATGAAATCTATTGCATTATTCCGAGGCAAAGAATTTAGCAATGTGTAAAAAAATAATGTATCTCTGAATATGAATACTGTAAAAGTGAAATATCACAATTATAAGGGTTATTAATATATACAAAAAATAAATAGACTTTGCCCGTAGTACATGATAGTTCTATGCTAATACTCTATCCTATTTATCCGTTTTTACTCGCTTCAATAATTCCTACAAAAAACAAAAATAGACTGACTTAATTAAAAAAAAAAACAAAAACATAACATCTCCAAAGTCATTACATATAAAAAAAATAAACCTGAAAAAAAGTTTTTTTAAAAAAGTAATCTGACGGACGGATGAAACAGATCATCCGATCTGACCAGATCGGATGACGGATGGGATATATTTCTTTCGTCAATGTAGTAATGTGAAAAGAGAATTTATGATAAAATATATAGATTATTTATTATTTTACTATATACTCAAATCATTGTAATCGTACAATCATTCGACCGGTAATATCTAATGATTAGATATATAAATAAAACAATTTAATTGTTAAATGAGAGTTATAATTTTGTTAAAAAAGATTTTCTATTTATTATTTATTATTTTTTTTTTTAAATAAAGTTATATTATACATTGAATATTAAAGAAATAGGTCTGGCAGGTCAAAAATTGTTAATATGGATAGAAATATTAGTATACTGAGGTAATAAATTTTATTAAACCAGAATTATATTTGAAAATAGTGATAATAATTAGTACTTCTTCATCTATTTTCATAACTGAAATATGTTGATTAATCTATCCCCATACCCATCCACTAACCATTTAATCCCCTATAGTAATGTACAAGATATATAATCCTTTATAATTCAGTTAATTTATCAATTAATAATATTCGATTAACAATTTTTATGATGGAAAAGAAATATGTAAAAAAGGGATGAAATGGATGATGAATAATGGAAAGTGAATTAAAGGGACAATGTGAAAACCGAAATTGGAGCGAAGGGGATGATGAAAAACAAAAAGGGAGCAAAGGGAAATGGAAGCGAAGAGGATGATGAAATAATAAAAAACAAAAATGAGCGAAATGAATGATAGAAAATGAACGAAAAGGGAGTGAAATGGATATAGAAAATGAAAAGGGAATAAAGTGGATGATAGAAATTAAAAGAAAGAGTGTTAGTATCATTTTTAATAAAGGAAAACAATAAAATAACAAAATAGCAAAAAAAGTGAGTTGAGTCTTACTTGAGGCCATTTTAAAATTGTTGTTTTCTAAGAAACAAGTTAGCATAAAGAGACTCAACGTGTTTAACGTAAAAAAATTTCTGAACATAAGGTGGGAGAGTTTTTGTGGTCTTGTGGATAATTGCTGGATTATGGGTCGGAAGAGGTTTCAGATATGTGAATGGATATTTGCAATTCCATTCAACATCAAGAAGGTTCGGATCTGGCATATGGATAGAACTAAATTAGTCAAAATCTTTCCATATGTAGAACGAAGGTGTATTTGGTATGGACGGGATGACAGAGGACTGGTGATTATAATGTTGGAAGAAAGAAGGAAATTATATAAATAGCGAAGACATCCATACGGGTGCTCTGATATAGGAACATGTCATTGTTTTATTACAAAAGTAGAAATTGATGTTTTATTTATATTTGGATTTTGTTTTTGGTTATAGGGGCATACGGTAGTGGTACTTGTGACTCTATGCATTTTTCTTAATTTATTGTGGAAAAATATAAGTGATATAAAAAAATTAAGTTTATATATTATGTATACTAAATATCAATTCTAGTTTTTAAAAATAAGCTATAATTATATATAATTATTTCAATGAGATTTATGTAGTATAAATATAAATCTTTATTTAGTATTATAAATATATTATATATAAATTTATAAATCAACTTCGATTACATTAAACTGATTATAATCAAGGTTGGCTGGTTGCCTTCCAATTTTGAAAATAAAATGAATTAATTATGAGTTCAACTACATTTATACAAATTAATTCATTAATAGATAACTTTTTCAAACGTATTTGATTTTTTAGTAAATATTTAAAAAATTATAATTAATATACATTATATCGATTTTATTTATATAAAATGTCATCAGAATATTTTAATTAAGACAGACGTTAAGAATTGAGATGAAAATAAAATTCGACTTTTTGATCCCTAGATTAAAAATAAAATTCAAACTATTTAGATTAATATAAGAAGAAAAATACATAATATAATTTCTACAAACATAATAAATGTATATGAAATACGATAATAATTAAAAAAAAAAAGCTAACTTGCCACCTAGGTTAAATAATCTGGGTTAAATCACCCTCCCCAAAAATTTATATTTTACGTGATTTTTTGCCAATTAAAAAAAAAAAAAAAAAAAAAAAAATTTGTGTAATTTTTATTCTTTATAATGTATGCTTTAACATGCATTTATTCATTTTCTTGTATCTTCTAATAAGAAAAATCTATTAATTAACTTAAATAGGATTTGCTTTAACATTTTCATTCCATTCAAAGAATGAAATTATATATTAGGAAAAAAGGTTTGTATCAAATATATTTCTTTAAATAAAAGACAACAGGTTAACAAAGGCGTTATTAAATTATTAAAAATGGGTAAAGTCTTATATTTTGAATTACAAATGATACTATGACGCCCAACTTCTAAACAAACCTGCAATGAAGATTAACAATTTACCATAATAATATAATAAAGGAAGTATTACTTACAAAATATTACGTTTGAAATATTGTCCCTTAGCCTTGAGAGTTTTAGTTTTTCTAATGAATACGTGTCCTATTTTCTTTCTTCAAAATAAGAAAATAATGGACCCAATCAAATTAATTATCGCGTTATAAGCATTTTTTTTTTTTTTATTAATGTCAATAGATATTACAAATATTTAAATATATTCGGAGTTATATTCATATCTTCACATTCGGGTAAAATTGAACTTTAAAATAAATTTACCTTGAAAGCAATTCAAAAAAATGTTTACCGCCTTACCGCCGCATGTAGATCTACCCTCGTGATATGTGATAAAACCTTTTTTGCATGTTATCGTGTTATTTGTTTGTTCTGTGCCTTTGAGATGTAATTGGCATGGAAATTATTTTTTCAGGGGACGCTTCATTAGAACTAATAAGTTTTTTTAAAAGTCTAAAAACTAAAAATATTCGGCATTGATGAGGTTCTTATTTAAACCCTTTAATAATGGGTATGATTTTTTTGCTGATACAATAAAAAATTTTGGTCGATTTCAACTGAACGTGTCTACAAAGGAGAAGCACAGCCATTGAATTATAATCGCCTCTTGTGATAAATTTTTTTTTTTTTTTTTTTATATATAGCTTATAATTATCAAAATAAAAAAAAAAAAAATTCGGATAAACTACGACCTCTGGCGATTGTATGACACCAAGAATTCAGGCTCTTCATGGCGGCAGTGAGTCTCCAGAAAGGCACGTGGTGAAATTACCAATTGACATCAGCGAAACCGAAATTTTTTTGGTCTGTAATGATGATATTCGACTGTCATCGCAAATTGCTAGCAAATTAAAAAATTATGGTGCCAAAAAAATTCGTTTATCCTATCCTCCCGACCAAACAAAAGTAAGCTACAAGAAAAAAATAAAGAAAAAAAATTAAAATAAAAACATATAAATATATATATATACAAATTTTATTTATTTATATTTATTTATTTATTTATTATTTCTTCTTTTATCTTCTTTTATGTTTTTAATTTTAATTAATATCCTTCTTTACTACTACTTTATATAGTATGCGGAAGCCAATATAGACGCGATTAAAGTGCCAGGTTCTTGGGAAATGCAGGACCACTTATCTAGTAAGAATTTTTATAATTTCATCAATTCATCAACTTTTTCGTACCTAAAGAAAACTTTTTTAACATTTTCTTTATAATAAAGGTTCAACAACAATAGTAATAAGTCTTCTATATAATAATTATGAAAAACAAGAGATGCTTGTTAACGCTTGCATACAACAAGGAGTTGCCTTGTTTATTACATGGGACGCTGGGATGGAACTGTAAGTTTAATTATTAAGGTTATATATGTAGTAAATAATAATTACAAAATTATCAAAAATCCCTTTTACTCTCTTATAGTGAAACATATGTAAAAGACAAAAAATGTCCTAGAACAAGATTACATAAATATCTTCGATCTATAAATAAGAATCAACCTGATGGAATGCGTTGGATTTTATTTCAAGTTGGTATCTTTGATGAAGAAGTCCTTAAACATGATATCTCAACAATTACGACCGCATTTAATAGTCCAAGTCAATATATTTTCATAAATATTACGGTCAAAGAAGACTTGGCTCAATTGGTAGTTGAAGCTATAGTATCAAAAGAAATTGAACTCAATAGAAATTATGTGGTCGGAGATTTTGTCGCGCATACATTCTTAGGGCATGTATATCAAGTTGCAAACAATGGTAATTATTATTTAATAATTTATCGAATAATTGTGGAAAGAAATTGACTTTCTTTTTTTTTACATTACACATTTAATATAGGTGCTCCATTAAATTTACATATGCCAGCGGACATAAGTGAATTCGAAATTAATAATCAATTGCGCTTATCTGGAATTGTATCTGCTAGACCGCTTCCGCGTATACTCTATCCAGGGTGCAGCATCTTTCTTCATAAACTTGGAATTGAGGTATCATTCCAACATGATGCGGCGATATATAAAATACTAAAATATCATCGTCGTACATCCCTCAAGGAGTGGTTTCGTAATAGAATTCACTCCACTTCCTCCTCTTAAAAATATAGATCATTACATAAGAAAATTTTTATTTTAAGGAATTTTTTTTTAAAAAAAAAAAATAAGGAAAGTATACACAGAAAATTATGCATGAAGAAAAAATTTTTTATGTATTACGGAAAATCCAAGATAAAAAAAAAATAAGGTTTTGTTGCGGTACTATTTTTAAATTTCTCAATTAAGAACATAAAAGAATAAATCAATATACTATTATGAAAATATGTTTAAATTATGTTTAAATAAATTAAATACAATAAGAATAACAAGAATTCTTTTTAATTTAATTTGCGGAAACGATTCATTTAATCTACGTTTTCAATATGAATTACATGATTCCTTTGGTTCGTCACACATAAGCATTCCCCATAACTGTGATCGATAATCAGTAGATAGCGGAAGCGCTCCGCGGTTACTCCATTAACAATAGGAATTTCAAAAATATCAATTACGTAATATAGTTATACATGTCCTGTTTAACGAGACAAGTTTCCGTAATAATCATTATCCGTAAATTAAAAATTTTTTTTTGTGATATTGTGATTAAAAAAAAAAAATTGGTTTTGGCGCATTATTATTCGTATGCAAGGTCTACTTTCTTTTCATTATTTCTTTCTATGGTAAATAAAAAAAGTATAAATTTATATAAATATACAATTGATGACATAATTATAATAACATGTAAATAATTTATTATTGTTGCTGACTATTTGGATTATTAATAAATTTTTTTTTTTTTTTTTTT